GAGAAAGAAAGAAAGAAAGAAAGAAAGAAAGAAAGAAAGAAAGAAAGAAAGAGAAAGAAAGAAAGAAAGAAAGAAAGAAAGAAAGAAAGAAAGAAAGAAAGAAAGAAAGAAAGAAAGAAAGAAAGATCTTCTGTAAATCCCCCTCACCCTAGGAAGAGGAAAACAAGTGAAACCACTTCTGAAAAAGTTGCCAAGAAAACTTCAGGGATTTGCACATTTAGTCTCCATTGATTTGAGACTGTAAATTACCTGGTTGTCTTTCCCATGGAAACCAAAAGTGCGTTGGAAGATTTACTTAATGCAGATTAAATATAAATATTCATCAGTGCCATGGAGACCATTATCCCCCATGTTGACGGTCACTCCTCTCTCCTTGGACAGCATTTGGGGAGAGTCCAGAGCTTTGCCTGGCCTTTGTGTCCACTTGTGGGAATGACATCCAGTCCGATCAGAAAGGACAAAGACATGGGTGAAACCAGGCTCAACTCCAAATCTGATTCACTTTCATTTCATTCCCTTCGGATTCCATCCTTAGCCTCCACACACTAATAATTCTCCTCAGAATTGCAGTATAGAGAAGGAAGAATCCCTTCATTCCTTCCAGATTAAGAACTGCCGTCAGAGGAATCTCCTGGAGGGAAGTGAAGGCATTTGCAAAGTTCTTGTCATGGCCCCGTCGGAGCCTGGGTCTGAGGAGGAAGACGAGACGGAGCCGGGATGACGGAGGAGGATCGTGCAAGGGAGATTCCCCACCTTTCCCTTACTCTCCCTTACTCCTCCTCTGTCGGCCCCGGCGCTATTTCGTCCTCCTCCTTGGATCCAGGCTCCAACGGAGCCATGACAGTTCTCAAAGGCTTTTCAGGGGCTCCTGGTCAAGTCTTCATACTCTTCCTGTTGCCTCCAGTTGTTTCCCTTGAGCCTCTTCCTGCCCACAGCAATCTCCCTCCTGCCTTCCCGAGGTGACCAGTTTCCCCTCCATGACTTGCCAAGATGTAACCTTGTGGCTTTGTAGGCAGGCCTGGCCACTTACTTTATCCCGCCCGTCTTCGGCTCTCTGGAGCGCTTGGCGTAAATCGCAGGCGGTGTTCACCAGCTCCTGCTGCTCCTTCAGCACCCGCCTCCACTCGGCCTCGAGAGCTTGAAGGGGGACCCCGTCCTTCTCGGAGCTGCCATTCTTGGTGACCTAGAAGAGAGGAAAGGCACAAAATAGGCACCCCTTCACGTTTTCCCCCACCCTTTGCAAGCCATGGTGGCAGTGGCGCAGTGGTCAAAATGCAGTACTGCAGTCTACTTCTGTTGACTGCCTGGTGCCTGCAATTTGGCAGTTCGAATCTCACCAGGCTCAAAGTTGACTCAGCCTTCCAGCCTTCTGAGGTGGGTAAAATGAGGACCCAGATTGTTAGGGGCAAGAGGCTGATACTTGGGGAGGGCTGTAAAGCACTGTGAAGCGGGATATAAGTTTAAGCGCTATTGCTATTGTGCTGACTCCCTCTCTCCCACCTCTGCCTTCCTCCTTCACTTAGGGAGAGGACATATTGCCTGGGAGGGATGCGCTGGTTTTCCTGCCTCTTGCAGGGAGTGGGATGATCAAGGATGGTGAAGCTTTTGGTCTTGGTGTATCAAAAGTTCAGGAAATGCATAATTTTACTTTGCAAGTGCATAGCTCATACATACAGGCACACACACACACTAACACTAGCACTTAATAGGAAGGAAGGAAGGAAGGAAGGAAGGAAGGAAGGAAGGAAGGA